AATAAGTAAAAAAATTGTTATTATATATGTGTACGTGTATTTGTATACGAATGCATGTGCATGTGTACGAGTACTTTACCCTTTAATAAATGAACCCACTAACACATGTGTTTATGTGAATAGATCCTTTCTTTTGAATCTTGACATTAGGTACCGTATGTAATAGTATACGTTACATGTCTTTCTACACATGTAGCATACTAAATAATTTATTTGTTGTGTGTTCATCAACCACCCATCATATTATTAGTAAGACTGCACAAATGTACTGTTAGTTGTCACATCGCCTCGATTCATTATCCTCAGTTTTCGGTTATACGTGGTGTCACTACCCTCAACCAAACTATTTTTGTTATTAAAAGTATAGCGAATAAGTATACGTAGAAATTGCGGTGATGGACAATTTTAGTGATTATTTTAATTCAACTCTTTTGTCTGATGTTCATCAAGACGAAAAGTTCGTTGATACGTGGATTATAGTAGTTTTTTTTATTTTCCTGACCATTGGGATGTGTTTGAATTTGGTAGTTTTCTTGGTACTTTTACAAACCAAACGTAATGGTACGTCTTATTATTAATTTTACAATTTAGAACGTATTTTTTAGAAACTAATTAATCAATAATAAAGTTTTAGAAGCATGAAAACTACGTAAATGACAAGAAAACTTATATGCCATCTTCCTCACTTTTGGAGCCAAGAAATTATTACAACGACATACGGCTAAGGCACGTCCATTAATATAGGTCTATGCTTATATGATATAGATATACTATACATTTTTTATCTATGTTTCTGGTCATAGATTTCTAAAACTAAATGGCTGTGTCTCCTGTATGGGCCTGTGCTTATAAATTATTTTTTATTATTTGAGTAGACTTGAATATTATTTATATTTCTTTTCGATTTCTAAAATTATTGCTAGGCTTGATGAAATCGCATCATGTAAATACTTTTTTTAAATTCATTTTAAATTATGCTCATCAGAGCATAATTACAATTTAAAATGCGGCGCAAGAATACCAATCATTCTGATTTTTTAAGTTTTATTCTTTTTAATCTTTACCTCTGATAAAAATATTGGAAGATTCTTTCTTACTACGAAGTTATTAAAGATTTCATGCAGGTAAACAACGTGTGCTTTCTTGACGCCACTTTGCGTTTAGTGGAGGGACAAGCGACGCACTGCGCATTTACGGGAATGTGAATTAAGTTCCTGTTTCTGCCTCATCGTAGATTTTGCTTAAACAAAAAAAAACAAACCCATGGTATTTAATAAACTAGGGAAATTAATTGTAAATGAATAATAAAAGTATCAAAAACTAAATTCCACTTTCGATTGAAATTACTTATTATTTCATCTATAAACTAGGCGGCAAGTGGCGTATTCCTGGCTTTTTGCAGTACAGTTTACAATTGGACCCAATGCTTTTTTAGCCGCTCTAGGCATTTAAACTTGTCTCTGACCCATTCCCATACATAAAATACATGGTGTTGTTGGATAGAAGTAATTAATTAAAGAAAATGAACAATTTATTTCGTTTATTGCTGCAGTAACTTTTTGTCTAGACCAAAAGAATATTTAATTAACTACTTTTTTTTATAACAATATCATTGCTACATACATAATTCAACAATTATATAATACTAAAACATTCGATCAAAAATTTGATCTCAATTCGCTTTAACTTTCTTATATGAAATTAAATTACAGGAAATTACGTAAATATAAGGGAACTTTAGTACTACAAGGTATACAATGCTTAAGTACAAAACAATTACTATTGTTAGTACGAGATCAAAGACGGCTGGCTTTACACTGAAAAAGAAAAAATAAAAGTACACTTTTTTGTTAATAAAATCAGATTAATTGGCTAATAGATTTATTAGTTACCTGTAAATGTTCATCATGCCTTTGGTGACATCATAAAACGTAAAGTCGGGGTCTCTTTTGTCAGGCTGTACGGTAGAAACTTTGATCTCTCTTAGGAAACGATTAAAAGCTTCTTGCAAAGAGTTAACTAAAATGTTGTCTTTATTACATAGTAGTTGTGGTGATCGTGGTTGGGAACTTAAATAACTAATCCAGGCTTCTAAATGACTCTTTTGTACACCCTAGAAGTAAACAGACAAAAACATTCTTTACAAAAACAAAACTATAATTGTTATTGATATATATAAAGGTGTGATTATTGATTCTATATTTCCATTATAACAAGCATGCATGAATGAATGAAGCAGAATTCTTAGTTAGGGATGAAATGATACCTTAAAGGTATCGATACTATCATTTGGTCGTTGTACAGAAAGATAGTGCTGATACCTCTTCGACAAATGGATATGTAGGTATCATTAAGTTCATGCAAAAAATAAATAAATTGCAACTTACTAATGAGCCTTTAAAAATGCTACCCTCTGAAAAATTATAAATATGCTTTGCAAGTGCTTCAGCTACCATGGTTGTATGTCTGACTAGTCTGTTAATGTCTATGTTANTAAATAAATTACGAACCCATTTTATTTTATTTTTTATTGTTCGGTAGGTATTTTTCTTGAGTGGTATTGTTTTAGTACCTCGATCCAGTTATGTGCAGATTATCAGGGGCGGATCTACTCAAGGGCTTTTGCGAATGTCACCCAGGGCTCCGTGAATTCAAAACGCCTGCACTCTCCATTGAAAATAATGGACAATATAGTAAAGAAAATAAATATCTTAAATTAAATCCCATCATAAGGTTGGCAACCCTTCGATTAATTTAACTGTATCGAACGAAATCGCTTGATTTCGGTCGGTGTATTTTCTCGCGTATGCGTCTATTACGGGGGACTTCTCGCTGCTTATCACCGTCATTTTGTTTTTTTTTTCTCCCTTGTGTTCCCGTCGTCAAAGCAACAAATTGACTTTATTGTTAGAACTGATTTTAGTGATATCGCCAAATTTAATAAAAATTCTCTATCATCTTCCAAATAATTGGATGAGAAAACTTTCTGAGTTTTAAAGTTTGTTTAAATTGAAGAGTATTCGCTATTACTTGCACAGATATGATATGAGAATATATATTTTCGAAACAATCCTGTGAGAAACTTTCAGTTAACAAAAATACAAATTTCTTCCGTTAAAAAAAAAACTTTTATATACCGCGAATTGTTTAGGTTGAGAAGCGAACACAACTTTGTACAGGTTTCCAAATATTTTTGTTGTCACATGTTGCAAATTTAAAAATATATCCAAAAGTAGCTTTACTAACAAATCATGCTGTTGTAAATTACGGCGGTGAATAATGAAACTATTGTGCAAACAAGTTGTCTATTGTTTTAATATATCGAACAACTATTATAGGCATGTGTCAGAAATGATGAGGTACAGCACAAATTATAAATATTTGAAGCGAGAATTTTTAGTCACTTAGACAATCGTATTGGTCTTTAAGACATCTCAGTTTTTAAATTATCTTGTATCTTGTAATTTTGTTTAAATAACGCTTTTTTGATTTTTAGAAACGGTTTTTAACTTTAAACCAAAAATAACTTGCGTTTACTGGTTTTACATTTAGTCGAACCTAGGATAAACATGGCCGCCGTATGCGCGCACCAATCACAGCGATGACCGCCCATGGCCACACTTTTGTTATTAAGTGACTGCCAAAAATATTTGATAGACATAAATGCGCTATTTGACTTAAAGCGTCTTCAGACATTTTATAGTCTATATTTACTATTTTTTTTTTTACATTAAATTGAAGACGTATAGATAGAGATATGCCTCTACAATTCTTCCGGCTTTGAACTGGCCCGTTTGCGTCTTTACAAAATGTCGGGTATTTGTTGTACTCCAAAAAAGCGTAAACCTTAAAGATATGAAACAGAAAGTATACCAAAAAAATATTAGTTCAGCCTAATAATATTTAGGCTACTCATCATTCCTCATATTAGAAACTTTTTTTATAAGGTTTGTGAATACTTTTTGGGTGTTTCGTTGAACACTGTGAACTATGCGATATG